GACCGCGAAATAACCCCCAAAACTAGTTGGGGTTTTCTTCAGTTTTTTGGCTTTTGAATCCCATCACTGAGCCTTGCAATTAGAAAGCGATAGCTACGCACATGCTTAAAAGTATGCCTAAAAGGCAGACTTCGTGTATGAAGTCTGCCTTTCTTAGCATTGTGAATTCTTACGCGAAGTCGCTAATGCCATTTTCCCAGATAAAGTGTACTCCGCATGGAGTGTGCCGCGTCTTCCACGTAAAACTAGACCCTCTGCCGGTTAAGAAGTCATGATTCTTTAATCTTAGCTTGTTACCCTTCACGCAACCTGCCGTTTCATACATTGGAAGGGAGGGTAAGTTCTCTTCATTCATTCCAGACCACCGATACTGTAATAACCGACCTGTGCGGCCATCATTCTTTTTCACCCACTAATGTCTAATATGGAAACATTTTTACTTGGCAGATTTTTGATCAAACTAGGAAACGTACTGTTTAAAAGACGATACTTCTGAACCAATTAATTGCTTTCTAAAACTACTTCAAGCAGCAAGATTTTATGAGTTAGGTAGGACTGAGACGGTGCCTCTTCTTTATTTCCTTCAGTTAATCAAGGCCTCGCTTTGTAGGATCACTCATGCTAAAGAAGCCGTTGACAGGTGATGCTGTGATAATATTTTCCTACACTTTCACAGACGCAGCCGAGCAGACTCGGCAAGATATTTGCGAAGATGCTATGTTCGAGGTGTCTGGGATTCCTTTTTACCATTTCGTCTTTACTGTTCGCCAAGAGTATTTAAAATGGGGGCGAAAGATATTCCTCGATTTTCGCCTTCGGTTTGCCTGTTTTTCACTGCCGTGTGATGGTAGGGGTAACTAGGACAGTCCGGTAAACCCACAGCTGTTTAACATGGTAATTTTACCATGAGCTCCTAGGCTTATTTAGGGTCTAACCACTTTTAGGGACGTTGGGGTTACCGTCACCGTCCGTTGTAGTAAAACACAATAGCTCTCTATAAGTACGCAAAAATGTCTACTCCAGTCAGGTTATGCACTTTCACACTAAACGCTGTTCCAGTACGTTACACACCGCCTCTTGTACTCCAGTGTTGTCCCTTTTGATAACCAATCAGAACTTTTTGCTTTAAGGGTAAACAGCCCAATCTTATTAAGCCATTTTTCCCCATTAAAGCATCGAGCGTGCTCGTAAGGGATTAAATGATCGACGACCTCCATCTTAGACACGCTTACTACGATTTTTATTCCTTGCTAACTAAACAGCGGGTCCATTTAACTCTAGAATAGGTTGTTCTTTGAGTCCTGTCAAGGGTCGTAAGTTGGCGGAGGGAGTTGGAAGGAGCGCTTTTGTTTCGCCCTAATTAGGGTTGGTGATCAACACTAGCTCGTTCGTCGTAGATGACGGGAACCATCACTTGGCTGAAGAGAATACATCGATGACCGGTCCATGGTTTTTTAGAAGTGCCGAGTTCCAGTGTGTTTACCTCACTCTTCCGACACCCATCATGCCCCGGTGGAAGACGAATAAGCATCATTGACTGACCAGACCGAAACAACGGCCGCGACTACTACACACGGCTTTATCCCTAGCTCCGTACGAATAAGACTTCAATGCGGAGATCTTGGAGCTTGAATTGGTGACAATGTCCTAACGGGCACGTTGAGGGTAAAATACTACAACCTAGCCTTCGGTCTTGAGTTGGATTGAATTGTCTCTTCAGTTTTCTGCCTACCAAACCAAGGTTGTCGTACGTAATGATTGATAAAACGCATGTTTTTTTCTTTATAACTAGTGAACCAAACGTCCGCCTTGTCTTGCTTCCCATGCCAATACCTGCATGTAGTCTGAGGCAGGCCGACTGGTGATAAAATCAACCTTTGTTACAGAGGTGACTCGAGACGTCCCCCTAATTCAGACCCTCAGACACAATGCGTCATCCAACATTGTCGATTTCACAAAAACTCATCGGATGATTGTCGTATAGTTTACAGTGCGTGTTTTAGTGGTTGCTGTCATAAATATGTGTCTGACCGTATTGACAATATTTGAAGCAGAAAGAAAGCAGATTTACCCCTGCGAGGGCGTCGGTGGTGTCCAGGACTGAGATGTAGGACCACTGCGAGCGGTGGTTGAGAGACTAGGGATGTCGGTACCTTGATAGTTTGCATACGGCTGAGATTGACATCGATTGTGGCGTGCAGGGCCCGTTAGCTGTTTTCTCATGGTCTGTAAACAAACGACCAAAGGCATTCTGAGAATGCTTAACACAACATTTTCGGACGTAATTCTCCGGAACGACGCTGGTGAGCGCGAGTTGTGAGGGTGAATTACCCGTCGGTGGTCCTAATAGCCACGAAGTTCTTAATTTTACTACAGTTAGAATGCTTCTGGGTTTTATGGGCTTTGACGTTTTCTACAGCTGCTGCTTTAAGCGCCGTTGCCAGTAAGCAGGTGCAGGTGTGTTCGCTGGCACTACGTAATTTGGCCAATTGCTTTTATCGTTTGTACTTCTAACGACCAGCAGCACAACGAGTTTGCAGACCCCAAAATCCATGACATTACGGACCATTGCCTCATTTTTGACAGTTGCGTGGAGCCGACGAGACCGGTTAACTTACCTTCGATCCTGTAAAGTGTACAGCCGAGCCATCTGGTACTGAAAATTTTCACAGTAACACCTGCAAGTGAAGTTCAATATTAGATTCTTGGTCCTTGAGCTGACGTTGCAGTATTTTTCAGAAGCACCACCTGTCGAACACCGTAATTCTCTTCAAGCCAGCTGTGCGCAGTAGCCACGTCTCAGGCATGTTCGGCAGAACTAGTTCTTCTCGGCTAGTACTTTCAGACTGGTACCGTAACTGTTGCTCAGGCAGGGGGACATCCAAGTTCTGGACCATTTTACGCAATTTTCAAGTTTAAAAAATTCTCATCGTTTACGAGCTGCACTCGTTTGACATTTTAATCGACCTTGGGGTAAAAGCACTGCGTATGTCCAGAAAATGTATATCCTAGCTCCCTATCTGCCTACGAGCCACGGGCGGGGTCCTATTTGGACTGAGTAGTCGATGATCTGTAGGACAGGCCCTACCGAATATTGCCTTAGTCACTAGGACATCGCGTCCGCCAATTCCGAGTAAGTAGCCCAGTGGTTCTCAGTGAGGCTGTCATGGGCGCACCCACGTTCTTTGCTTTTGAGAAGACTCAGCACGACGTTTTCAACGAGGAGGGGGGGGGGATGCGTTTAGCATAAATGTTCTTTAGTTGACCATTATTATAGTTTCCGACTCTTTTACACCCAATTACTGCCTCCGGAGTGTTGCTGTCTGCACCAAACCGTGGATGCAGGGACAGAGGAGTGAGGGTCCTTGTAGATCTCGCCTTTTACCTCATAAGTCATCAAAAGAGCAGTATCTGTTCTATCTCATAAAATGTTAACCTAAGTTCTGAAATGTATTTTCGATTAAAAAGGGATTACTTTGGGAGGGGGGGAGTTGTAATAGTGATTATTATACAACAGAACTCCAGATATCTATCCGTTTATTAATGCTGCTTATGAAATATATGACATGATCTGCATTCATTGCACGCTTTTACGAGCGCGATATGATGTTTTGTTAATGGCTAGGCGAAATTTAGGATTTCTCTTTTCGGAAAATTTATAGTGTACTTTGGAAACGTTGAGCGTAAGCGCAAAAATATTCGGGGATCAGAGGAATTTTTAAAACCCAAGGATACCCTTTCATCAAACATAAAACTTGGAGAAGACGTAATTCGCTACCAAATGAGTGCAAGAATAAATATTATATTGCATGCTTTCTATAACATGAATTAAAATCTATAAAAGCGCCGGAAATCAGTAGCCAAAATTCAAATCGCTTAATAATATTTTTTCACCGAATGCGATTTTTGCAGAAAGCCAAAAAAGAAGCCTGTTCAGAAGCCAGCATCCTGGCGTGATTGAAATATTTTGGGATTACGCTGCGCGATTACAACCCAACCTAAGGAATTCTCTCCTAGTCTAAAACATTTTAAAATTTTCATTAACACTTTATGAGGTAGGCCAGATACTGTGTAAGCATGGGAACTAGTAAGTTAAACGCACATTTTCTCGGGTAGCAGCGATCCTACTGGGATGCAATCGTCGTTGACGCCATTCAGGAAAGCGATCGGCAACCGTTGTCCTGGAGCCAATCCCCACTTTCCACCACTCATCAATTAGAAGGTGACTCCAGTTATCCTATCACGAGGCCGCGGGTCTCACTGAGAGGTCGCGGTATTGAAATTGTTCCTGCTTAGTTGAGAGCCAAAAAACCCCTCTGCCCTTCGACCCTCTGTCTGCTAAATGTTTCGTAGAAATGGGAAATTTCGAAGTTTTAGAGGTCAGAATCTATCTGGGCGTAGCAGCTTCTGTGGAGTGTGCACTAAACGTAAGTAACAACAGAAACCTACCAACACACTCGGTGATTCCTATGTAGATCCCTGTATTGAGTGACCCTTCTTTATGTAAGTGGTGACTATTGCCGAAGACTCGCCTAAGGTCGAGCGTTAATCCTCTCACTCCGAGTGGATTGTCAACTTATTGGGCCTGCTATTCACGACATCTGTCTCTTCAAGAGCTCAATTTGGTACTTTTCGAGTCTATGGATTTTCATGTAAGCCTGCATTTAAAGCAGAATTAAGGTCGTGGAATAGCAATTCAACTAGAGACAATGACATCCGTCCTCGAGCCTTAAATCGACACTCCGGTTCCATGCGCTGCACGACTAAGCAGAGGAAGATAAGGCTGTTCCTAGTGAATCGGACTCGACTGTCTTTGCTTGTCCTCTTTTGGCAAAATACTCTTAACTGCTGCCCACACTGGCGGTCCTTTTATGCTTTTTATTTTGAAGGACGCCGCATTTCACCTTTTACTCGGACTGTTTGACCATCTTTGTCAAAGTTGAAGTACGCGCACATTGTGTAGGAGAAAATTTCCACCCCCTGTACCGCTCTATTTCTAGATGTATGACCGCCTAGCGTACGCTGTACTCAATCCGAGCAGTTTTCGCGCCGTTCAAACCCTCTGTGCCCACTGTCTGCACAGCCTGCCCAAGAATGCCACGCTTTATCCCGGTCTTATTCGCCTCCTTTCGTCGTCTTTGTTGCCCACGTCACAACAACCAGTTCTCTTCCTTCCACGAGCGAAGGTTTTTAGTAGAAGCCGCGACTCTCTTAGCAGTTCGAAAAAATTCTTTGGCTCTCCTGACTCCAAGGAATCAGTAAAAATTCAGAAACTAGCCAAAGTTGAACAGAGCCAACTGAAGGAGATGATGCAGGGTCACTCGCCGGCCGTTCAACTGCAGCTGGTAGAGGCCTACCGTCGAGGCGTTGAAACGTCGTCAGAGAATCAAAGGAAAACCCGGATATTCCAGACTCTGTCAACATTGCTCGGCAGATTATTTCTCCTGGGCTTCGGGGGAGCCATCATCTTTTACGTTATTCGTTCCTCTGGTCGTGGCTTTGAAGGTGATATCTTTTCAGTTGTCCTTCTTATTCCAAAGCAGGTTCTTTTCCAAAATTGTTTGACCCCAGTGTGGCCACATTTGCGGAAAACATCGAAGTCAATTTCGGTGATGTCCAAGGCGTAAGTCTCTTCTCGTTTTTTTCCGTTAGTGACACCCTGCCCTTTCTGATAGTGTGACGAGGTTAAGAAGGAGCTGCAGGATATTGTGGAATTTCTTCGCAATCCCGAGAAGTTCAACAAGCTTGGCGCCAAGCTCCCTAAGGGGGTTCTACTAGTTGGACCACCCGGAGTGGGCAAGACCCTTCTCGCGAGAGCAGTTGCTGGGGAGGCTCAGGTAAGTATGCTTCATGTTCTCTCATATGATATTTAAGGAATTACACCTGATGCAGAAAAATAACCTTTAATATGTGCATGTGCAGAGGATGCGATGTGATGCAAAGAATGCAAACTTAGATCTTTCGGACGCCACGGGCGTTTTATCCATCTAATCTGGAGTTGGACTTTGCGACCGCACACACACACACCGCTTCGCCTCTGCGGAGTCACTTGGCATTACTGCTGACTGCTATTGCATGATGTCGTTGGGTCAAACACGGCTGACAGAGTGACGTGGTAGAATCGAGTCCAGTCCCGACAGCGTGGGCCTTGTCTCAGATTCGAACTCACATGTGAGTGGCCTTCACCGTTCTGGCTTAATTGGGGAACAGAATGCCGCAGCTACGATTTGCATTTTAATTCCCGACTGTGACCATAGCAGGCGGGCACACATCGACTAGCCGATAACACTTCACCACATGCCCAATGGCTCTAGGCTGGGCTAGGTTGAAATTTCCGAACAAAACCTACCCAGTATCTCTACCCTCGGAGTCCAGAGAAAAGAATAGCTGAATAAGTGATCATAGTCCTCGGATATGTCAACCCTCCTTCCCAATCGTTACCTCCATATTCATCAAATTCTGTCTGATGTCCTGCGGTGTTGTCGGCCGTAGCCAGACGCGACCTCAACACAATTCAGTCCGCAAACCCGTCTACTGTTTCGAGACCAAACACGTCTTCTCCAAACAGATGGAACTTGTCGGGTTGTTTACAACCATAGTCGTGCGCCCAAGGTTGCTGCAAAGTAGGACTATGTTGTCGCCAACTTTAAGTAGGTCAAATTGCTACCTCAGTTGCAGTACCACAGCCACGCTTGAGAAGTTATAGAGAGCAGGTTGTATCGCTTTCTGGACATTCAGTTTCTTGCGATCGAGGTCGAAGGTATTTGGAATTGTCGTTTGCATAACAATCCTGTCTCAAGTCTAAACGCTTGCAGGCTTACTTTGACCTTTGTGAAACGGGGTCTGCCATGTTTGAAGTGGCCCATCTGTCCACGCTGACCTCGACCGAGTCGTGGGCGTTAGGGACTTCTCATCGCGTCTGCAGGATGGAGCTCTCCGGCTCTGTTTTTGTGCTTCTCGGCGGCACGAGGTTAAATGTAAAGCGAGTTGTCGCAGACATCTTTCGCAGAGCACACCTCTACATTGGTGTCTTGAATTGTGTTTTTGGGGGAAAATTCGGCTCCCGCTCGACAGTCCCGTAGGCAAAGGAGTGATCGAAGATGAGCTACGACCCATGCCCTGTGACCCCTGAGAAGCAGCAGAAATCTCCTGGGACAGAGCAAATGAGCTGTCCTGAGCTCCTCAGGTAAAGGTACCGTTTCACCGGCTCGAGGCCTTGCCCACGGCCTGTTTGTGCACCATCCAGGGCTGCCTTTCAGTCGCTGATAAATTCCCTCCACGGTGGTCTTCTCTCCAGACTTCCCGGTGAAAATCCCCCTACTGACTTATTTCAACCTGTCAGCCTTTCGATATAGTTTGTAGAAGATGGTCCTAGATAGATACAAGGACATGAATGGCAGGGCGGTTTGAGTCCGACCGAAGAGGCGGGACACGATGATATACCGGGCTGTGATGGCTGCAACTCTGCTATCAACTCTCTTTTACGCGGTATCACGTTAGTGTTAGCAAACTTCGCCCGTCTTTCGCACCGCTGACACGCCCTTTGTAATTCTGTCTCACTGTAGCCCCAGTGGCGACGGATAGTTTCAACCATCACCGCCTCGTGGCCGACTGTGACTCGTTGTAATTCTTCATCCTAGTGCCTGGTCGAGCTCATTCCGTGCTGTTGTTTTTTTTCGCAGAGGTCCCATGAATGTGGTTATCAGTGGTGATCTGGGTTTTGCTTGGCACAGGGCGGCGTCTTTACCGCATGTATCTACATTTTTTGTCTAGCCAGTGCGAAGATTTGGAAGATGGTTGTTCTCACAGTTGAAATCACTTGTTGACGCCCTTCTGGTTGATTCAGAAATACTCAAAATCGCATTCGACGAACTGCCCGATTTTGCCGGACAGAATACAGGTGTTTCGTTCTGCGTCCTAACTCCGATCTAGAGCCATAGCAGGCGATTGCAGAGCCACGGGTATTCAGTGGTCAAATGAACCCCCCCCTATTTCGGACTTAAGCTCTTCGCATGACTAAGTTGTCTGACGACGTCAAATGTGCCGAAAATTGGCACTCTAATCTCCTTTGCCACGGTTATTAATCTCTCAATTATTTGCTCGCCACTTGCGTGGCCTCTAGACCCCGGGCCCCCAAGGAAGAACGTTGAACAAAAACGCCACCTACGGGGTCCTCCTAGCTTTAATCCCCTCGCTCTCTCTCTGCGCAGTTTGACGACGTTTAGGGAGACCGCATGTTTGATCGACTTGCTATTCTTCTTCCCCCCCCCCTCTCTAGGTTCCATTTCTTTACGTCTCAGGAAGCAGCTTTGAGGAGGTTTTTGTGGGTATGGGAGCCTCGCGAGTTCGGCAGTTGTTTGCTGCTGCAAAGCAACATGCGCCCTGCCTCATTTTCGTCGACGAAATAGACTCAGTCGGACGCTTCCGCACTTCATCACCTCATCATCCCTACGCTAATCAGACCATTAACCAATTGCTGGCGGAGATGGATGGCTTCCAGCCCTCCGAGGGCATTATCGTTCTGGGCGCCACGAATCAGCGCGAAGACCTGGACAAGGCGCTACTTCGGCCTGGACGCTTTGATTTTCAAGTGCACGTGTCTCCGCCAAACTATGAGGTACTTCTGTATGTACATGCACTCCAGGTCGATAACATTTTTGCTGCAGCTGAGACGAACCTGTTCAGTGTGCAGCCAAACTTGGAAAAAAAGAATTAACCGAATATTTTAATGCGTTTTCGAGTGCAAAATATTACTTGACTGGTTTTGCAGTACTGAGTAGTGCGCGCCACCATCACGAGTTCACACATGCACTGCACTATGGCAGATTCTGGTTGAATATTCCTACTGCTCCCCTATGCCTCTCTGGAAAATCAATCGCGCGCTACATTCAATATTTACATAATTTCGCCCATATTTCTTTGGATGGACGCACTAGGATTCACTTCCCACTAAAATCTTGCAGCAACTTTCGTATTCCTGAAAACTTGTTACTTGTATTTCGGTCCTACAATTGTTAATTTTCGGATACGTGCACATATCCACTTATGCAGTGCAATATCCGTGTTTCTCCCCATCTTTCTTGGGCTCCCCAACCTTCTCGGGCTTTATGTTTCCCGCACTACTGATGGATGCCCATGGTAAGGATTGACATCAACATTCAAATCCACTGGAAGTTACTCGATACCCGCCGCAGTTACAGCTTCGTAGAAATCTCCAAAAACAGGATAAGCTGCCTTCTTTTTCGACAAGAATTGCGCATTGAAAGCCACAACGGGAAGGACTTGGGGTTTGTCACCCTGGGGTTAACGGTTAATGTGGAGGACATGCTTATAAATGCCTCAACCAACCCCAGCGGCTGCATAGATAAAACTTTCAATCCCTGCAAACGACAACCGCCTCACCGCCGTGGACGACTCGTCTAGGAAGCACAACCTCCAGAATCGCTAAAATCGACGACGAGATTGCAACTCATAACTCGAAGATCGTCTAGGTTTTTTGTCAGACCCTTAACTCGTCGCATACTCTTCAACGCCAAACTGAGGATATAGGGGTCTGTAGTCTCTGAAACATACCTGTGCGGAGCGGACACGGCGATCTATCAAAACCAGGCAAGGAAGCCAAACTATGTCTCCTAAGGCTAACTTCTGGAGAAAGTGAAACCAGAGGGCCAAGGACGGACCAGGACTGCAATGCCGCAGCAGACTCACTTCGGAGATGCGAATGGCAGACCAGCGTCTGTCGAAACCATTATCTGCCAATGACGTTGCTACAACCTCCCACCGACGATCAGAGCAGAACAGACGCTGCAGTCTTTCCTCAAAGGCCTTCCTCTGGTGTCATAGAATGAACCCAGAGCCCTGGAAGACTGTCTCAAGGCGTCGGCAGGCATGACCAACTGTCATAAAGGATGACACAACGGTCCCGGAACCCTGACAAAAGGCGGAGGCCGAAGTGAAGCTTCAAAAACATAAAACTGGAGTGCCGAAGGAAAACGTAGACAGTGACGGACCTCCTCCCGCCTGTCCTCTCTGCCTGCGCGAAGTCAGTTTTTGCTGGACACCTCTGTATCCGTTGCAGCACCACCCACAAAAAAACAATGTCGGGGAACGTACACAGTATTCGTTAAGCAGTAATTTAGAACTGGCCCGCACCGAACTGTTTCCTGGTCAGAATCGCCAAGGCTGGACATCATATCCACCTCCGCACACCGAACGCTACTTTGCGGACCACTTTTGCCCCTTCTGCTGCTCTGACTACTGCAATGTTTGAACCCATGTGACTTTTTCACTCCCTGTGACGTCCAACGAACGGAGCGTTCGATATATCAGCTGTTAATGTTCGCCGGGTGACCTTATTGCCATGCCAATTCCCTCACCAAAATCGACGCAGCCGAGGGCTTTTAAAATGTCAGAAGGCAATCGAGCTAACTCAGATAATCCTTTACGATTATTCTAGGTGATCGGATTAGTAATTTCGCAAGTAACACCGACACGTGGTTCGTCTAAGCGATCGAGTCAAGGTGGCGGACAACCAAGAAGAAAAAGCAATGAGGATCAGCGAATGAGAAGGCGGATAGAAATATAATTTAGGTAGTCTGGTTACTAGTAAGCGGTTAGTAGAAATGTTAAACAGACCTACAACAGAACTTATGGGACCAACAAATTCCGCGACGGCCTGTCAACTCCAACCGGTAGCTGCATAACAGAGGCAGCGTATGAGAAAGGTGCAGGGATTTGAATTTCCACTGCGACACGTTACGGTTGATAAGCCGTCGCGAAATTTGTTGGTTTTAATAAATCCTGTTGTGTACTCCTGTTTCAAATTCATACCGGAGAAATATTGCTTTAAAGTTAGTAGAAAAACAAAAACGGAACTAAAACTTTGACATATGGGGAATGTCGCATCAGCTGCGAAGCCCTGGTCCACGCGTTGTACCCCCAATTACTGCCTTTACCACTTCATCGTCTGTCACAAGGTCGCTTCAGGACAGACAACTAGACTGCTCACCAACAGCCACTCCTCCCGGCCCGCCATCAATGACGACAAGAACAATCCTCCAATCCACTCCTAGCTTCAAACACGTTTAGAGCTAGTATACACCTCCACCTTACATCGGTCCGTCAAGGCCTTCCACGTATGCTCAACCTGGTAAAGCTACAATCGCCGATTACTAAGGGTGTATCATAATACGATTTTCGAGCCCTGAATGTTTCAAGAATAAGTGAAAATGCATGTTTTATTTCAACAGTTCAAGGGAATGAAAGCACTGGAAAACTGAAATATACGTTTCCTTCAAGAGGCATGCCTAAAGAAGACGTGATTTTTTTGCACAGAAGAGGGCGTGAAATTTCACTTTTCTCGCTTTTTTAGGATCTACAATCGAATTTATACTGCTATCATCGTTGACTGTTACCTTTTCTTTCCACTCTCACTCAGACTGCATTTACTTCGATACTGCCAGAGCGAACACAGGCATTGGGACTTTCAGATTTATTTAATCGCTTCTAAGTACTTACTCTCACCGCACATTTGGTGTTTTGGTTTTGCCGGCCCCTTTATACATGGCGATCGCGGTTGTGCCCGAAGACCACTGGAATTTGGGCTTCGTGGCAAAAAAGATAATTATAGATGAGCAGTATCTATAATGCCACACCGCATGGCATCCGCCTGTGTCGTTCGCTGAAACTGGGACCACACAACCTTGTGGTGGCCGGGAGGTAGATCAATTTTATGATTCATGAAATCGTAGTCGGAGTTCTGGATCTGAAGCGGCTCTCGGCCTGTTCTAGTGTTCTTTCGCGCCATTATTTCGTCCCCGAAACCGAATTTTTTGCAAACTTGACTTCTTGAAAGACTTCGCACCCCCCCCCCC